TTTGAGCGATTTTGGTTGGCAAGGTATTTTAGCAGGTTGTCGGAGGGATCTCTGGGCTGCTTTCCTACGTGAGCGGCGTGGCCAAATATCGTCAGGTTCTCGGCCAGGGGGGGGGGCGGGAAGGTTGCCGGGCAGTTCTCGGAAGGCGTTCTTCAGGTACGCCTTGCCCTCCCCCCCCGCCCCCGGCGCCACCCTGAGGGGGGGGCCCAAATGATTATCCAAATCGGCTTGCCAGATGCGAGTTCTCATTCAAATCCTACTGATTGGTCCGTTGTCCCCCCCCATTCATTCCGACGCCCCCCCCCCAGCCCCTTCCCTGATTATGATTCCTATGGCTACGCCTACGCCTATGCCTATGCCTCCTTCTAACTCTGATGCCTACGGCTATGCCTATGCCCATGCTATGCCTATGCCTATGCACCACCTCTGAGCGCTCCTATGCATATTCCTATGCCTGTGCCCTTGCACAACCTCTGAGCGCTCCTCCACCTGTTTTCACATAGGCTTGCCCTATAGGAGCCCTAGCTCATCCTAAGAAATCGGTCTTTAGGACCCCCCTTTTTCCAATGACACCCCCAATGACCCCCCCCCTTCTTCCAATGTCCCCCCCTTTTTCCAATGGCGCTTGCTTGTTGGCTCTTGCGTGCTTGCTCTCGCTTGCTTGCTATTGCTTGCCCTTGCTTGCTTGCACTTGATCGCTGCAGCTTGCTTCCTTGTTATTGCTCGATTGCGCTTGCTTGCTTCCGCTTGCTCGCTTGCGCTTGCCTGATTTTGCTCCCCCCGTTTTCCTCCCGCCCTGCTCCCGCCCCCCCTTCGTCCTCCCCCCGCCCTCCTCTCGTCCTCCCCTTGTCCTCTTATCCATTTGGAGTCGACGCCGGCTGATATTTCTTTTAACAGCTGCCTAGCGACTGATCCGCCCGCCGCCCGCCCGCCCGCCCGCCCGCCCCCCCGCCGCCCGCCCGCCGCGTTTCCGTGTTCAACGCGCCACTTAATATTCAACGGCGCCCATCTCCAACGCAGCGCCCGCGACTCAACGGCCTCCGTTTCAAACGCGACAAGCAGTGCTCCATGGCATCCCGCTGCAAGAGATAATCCTTAGGTGTGCGATACAAATCCCGGTCTGCCCGCCCACCGCTGGCCCGCCGCCCGCCGCCCGCCGCCCGCCCGCCGCGCCTCAGCTCCCCCAGCGCAATGCCTAGCGCTCAACAGCATCCGCCCCCAGCGCAGCGCCGGGCCCTTCACGGACTCTGTCTCCAACGGAACGCCCGGCATTCGACGGCGTCCCGCTGCGAAACAGAATCCCTCTCAGGATTTCCGATGAAATCCAGATCCACCCGCCCGCCGCCGGCCGCCCGCCGCCCGCCGCCCGCCGCCCGCCCGCCGCGCCCCCGCGCTCAAACGCAACGCCCAGCGGTCAACGGCGCCCGCCCCCAACGCAAATCCCAGCACTCGACGGCCTCCGTCTCCAACGCAACACCCACTACTCGTAGGCATCCCGCTGCAATAGACAGAACCCATAGGCGTTTTACCACAATCCCGATCCTCCCGCCCACCGCCCGCCGCGCTTCCGCGTCCGTCGCGACGCCCGACATTCAATGGCATCCGCCTCCAACGCAACGCCCAGCACTCAACGACCCCCGTCTTCAGCGCGACCCCCAGAATTCAACGGCATCCCGCTGCCATAAAGAATCCTTGGGAGTTCGATTATGGTCCCGATCCGCCCGCCCGCCGCCCTCGCGCCCACCCGCCCGCCGTCCGCCCCCGCCCGCCCCCCGTCGCCCGCCCGCCGTCGATCTGCGTTCAACGCGACGCCCAGTGCTCAACAGCGTTCGTCTTGAGCGCAATTCCCGGCGCCCAACTGCTCCCGTCTCCATCGCAACACTCCGCATTCAACAACGTCCCGCTGTAAGAGAGAACCCTATGGAGTTGCATTGAAGTCCTGATCCGCCCGCCCTCCCCCCGCCCCCCGCCCCCCGCCGCCCGTTCGCCGCGCTTCCGTTTTCAACGCAACGCCGAGTGCTTCGCGGCGCGCGCATCCAATGCCGCGCCCAGCGCTCAACCGCCACAGCGGGGAACGCAACGCTCAGCGCTCGACGGCATCCCGCTGCAAGAAAGAACCCCTGAGAGTTTTGCTGCAACCCCGACGCTCCCGACCGCCGCCGGCCCGCCGCCCGCCGCCCGCCCGCCGCGCCCCCGCGCTCGACGCAGCGCCCGTCGGTCGACAGCATCCGCCCTCAACGCAACGCCCAGCACTCAACGGCCCCCGTCTCCAGCGCGACACCCAGCACTCAGAGGCTTCCCGCCGCAAGAGAGGAACCGTGGCCGATCCGCCCGCCCGCCTCCTGCCGCCCGCCCCCCGCCTTCTGCCGCCCGCCCCCCGCCGCCCGCCCGGCGCGCTCCCGCGCTCGACGTGGTGCCTGGCATTCAACGGCGTACGTTTCCAGCGCGACGCCCGACGCTCGACGGCCCCCGTCTCCCCGGGGGAGGCCTTTGGAACGGCGGGAGGTTTTCGCCGGGCGCGCTTCGCTGCTCGCGAAGTGAGGAGCGTCGCCGCAGGGTTGTTTGGGCGGTCGCTGGGAGGTGCGCCTGAAGAACCTCTCGAAGCTCTTCGGGGGAAGACCTCTTCAAGTTTTTCCTCTCCTGGGGAAACTATCCCAAGCCTTTCCTGGGTGGGTGGGTGGGCAGGTTTTGGAAGGGACTTCTTTCCAGGGACCTCCCCGGGGAAGGATTTTCAGCGGCTTTATGAAGAAGACTTCCATCAACTTTCCTGGGGGTGGCTTTCATAAAGTTTTTGGAGGGCCCCCCACAAAACCTCCCGAGTAAGGTTTTCGGATCGTCGTTGGGAGAACGTTTGGACGGTTTTTTGCGGGGACATGTTGACATTTCTTTTGAATATTGTTGGAAGGTGTTTCGAAGGCATTTGGAAGGCTTTCTGAATGCACTGGGCGAATTAGCTGAATGTCGGAAGATTTGCCCCTCGAAGGTTTTTGAGAGATGTTTGGAAGGTCGCTGGAAGGCGCTCGGCTTTCGATCCCCCCCGAGTCCGGGGAAAGCTTTCAAAAACTTACCAGAAACCGCCCCGGAACACAATCCAGGAGGGGCTCCGCGAATTGCAGCGCCGGTCTCATGGCAATTACTCCAGAACAGCGCTGGCAGCACTGGAGGGCGCAAACGGCCAGAAGCGTCTCGGACACGCCGGCGCGCGCGAGGGTCGCGGCGACCAATCAAATCCGACGCGGGAACCGCCAGAGGGCGCTGAGGCCAGCGGGGGCCCCCCCGCTTCCCCGGGCACGCCCAGCGAGGATGTGGGTATGAAGCGAAGCGGCGCCTAGCCTCAGGACGACTGAGGTGGTGAGTCAGAGGCGATGGTGCAAAAAAAGATAGCACATCCCTTGTGGTCATCCTCCATCCCTCACCTTCTCCATCCTAATCGGCCAAGACATCGTCACACCTCAACCTTGCTTCCCTACGTGGCCCATGGGCCATCCACCGTGCCTGATTTTCACGACAGGCTTTCAGACCACTTTGTCTTTGGCCCGTAGTCACCAAACAGGCACAGAAGCGACCGGGCCGGAGTCGCGCCACTTCTACTCGCGTGAGCCCCTCCAGTGCCGCTCATAAGAGCACGAGCGAGCCCCGACAGGGATGAACACGCCTCCCGCCGTGCCGCGAGCAGTCAGGCCAGACAGCCATGGGAGACCCCTGCCGAGTCTAGAATGTGCGGTGGGTTGGACAGTTCTGGTTCCCCTTTTCCCGTTCCTGCTTCTCCACCAGAGTTGTTCGATCGCCCGCGCAAGCCCGACTCAAATAGGATGCTTTGCTGCCGCCGTTCGTCTTCAGCGCCATCGCGTACTCAACATGTATTGATGGGTGAAAAGCCCGCGATATCAATTTTATTGCCGCTTTGCTTTCTCTCGTCACCCCCCCCCCCGCAGTTTTAGTTTTAGTTTTTCCTCCGTGAAGTTGCGATGCTAGTGGACTGGCGTGGCGGCGGACGTTGGCCATGGCTTTCTTCTGGGAGCAACTCATTGATGCTAGCTGCAAGTGGCTTTTTCTCGATGAGGAAGATGTCCTCTTCCTGTCAGCTTTAAGGATGGAAGGGTTTTCTTTTTACAGAGTGGAGCTCACGCTTGAATTGCTGTTCTTCGTGGCGCTTGTCTTTCAAGAGGGGCATTTCGATCAGTAACGCAAAATTTCTGCAAAGACTAATGAACAGTGGACTTGGGATGGGAGGCTACATGTCAGCATCGCTGATACAGTTTGGATTTACCCGAGTCCCCCCCTTCCTCCTCCCCCTCCTGTCCCCCCTCTCAGACTTCGGATGATGCTTGCAGCTAAGTAAAGCCCAACGGTTTTGTCCGATACGCAAGGGCTCGCAACCAGCAGCAGACCTCCTCTTACTCTGGGAGGAGGGCGGACCACCACCTCCTGGAGGGGCGCAGGAGGAGAACCGGGGGGCGGTGGTGGGATGTGCCCTTCTCGCGCGGCATGCCGCGCAGAGGCATCCCGCACACCATCAGACCTTGCACCCACCCAGATGGTTGTGGTAACTTTCCTTTCACGTAAACTGCGATCCCATTGGAACTCGAAAACGGGGAGCGGTATGGACATAAGTTTTCGGAGGTCTGGGCGGACCTCCCCTTGAGAATGCCTGACCAAACGTTTGTGATTATACTTCCGCTCACACCTCCTCGAAGTTGGCAGCAGCGCTTTCATGGGGGAGTTCGAGCATCAATTGATTGTCCTTCCCTCCCCCCCCCTTGCTCTCGTCCCATTCTTCTTCTCATCCAGCGAAGCAGGCTAGGGTTGGGAAATGTTGCGAAATCGGCAAACAGGCCGAGTGGAGGTACAGGCGGCTTGCACGAGGGGTGCCTGAGCGGAGGGGTCCAGGGTTGAACGGACTGGGGTGTTCTGGGTTGGTCTGCCGAGCTTCATTGAAGCGAACAGCATGCAGTCAACGTCGATCGGTGGGGCGTGTGTCGTGAAATGTGCCCCCGAAGGCAAGCGACACGAACCTCAACCTGACAGACGAACTGCACTGCAGTATTTGCCAGGAGCCGCGGTCGGAGAGGGGCGCTTGTTGCAAAGATGCCCCTGGCGGGAGGAACTGGTCCCAGACATCCGACGGTTGGATGTCGTTCACAATGGGGCTTCCCAGAGGTGTGAACCTCTTCCCAGGGACCAGCTTGGCATCCTGAGTCGTTTTTGTCGACGGTCTTGGGGCCCGGCAAGGGCTCCCGGAGGCCGAAAACTGCCAAACGAAATCCGTCTGGAATTTTTCACTACGAGAGGATGTCAGAAGCTGCGCCGAGATAGACCCAGTGCGGACGCGCATGGCATGCGAGGGATACACACACACACACACACACACACACACACACACACACACACACACACACACACACACACACACACATATATATATATAGATATATATATATATATATATATATATATATATATCCCTGGGGGCGAGGCCGGGGGCCCCAGGACAGGTGCCTCGACCCCCCATGGCGGGACGGGGGGGGCCTGGAGCCTCCCTGGAGCAGCCCAGGCGGCCCAAGAGTGCCCCAAGAGCGCTCCACGACAGGCCCAGCAGGCTCCTAGAGGCGCAAGAGGGCGCCAAGAGGGCCCCAAGATGCCCAAGATAAGCCCAAGACGGCCAAAGAGGCCCCCAAGACGCTCCAAGAGGCCTCCAAGAGGCCCCCCCAGAGGGCCCTAAGAGGCCAATATCGTTCATTTTACGAAGGTTTTGGACACATTTTGCCTTTCCCGCCTTTTCAGCTTTCCGGCGCTCCACGACGGCTCAAAGGCTCCCCGCGGACGCCCCAAGACAGCCCAAGAGGCCTCCAAGAGGGCCTCAAGACGGCTCTGGAGGGCCCCAAGACGGGCCAAGACGCGCCCAAGACGGGCGAAGAGAGGCCCAAGGCGGCCCCAAGAGGGGACCCGCGAACTGGAAATTCGAGCCTCCTGCCTTCACAGGGCCCCGGGAGGCCCCAAAGGAGCCCCAAGAGGCCCCAGGAGACCCCCAAGAGGCACCCAGGAGGCCCAAACGAGGCTTCAAGAGGCTCCCAAACAGCCCCGAGGAACCTCACAACAGACGGTGCGGACAAGCCGCACTTCGGACCGCCGCCGCCGGTCCAAGAAAACGGCCTCCTGGACGCCATGCGCGCCGTGGCCCTCCTGCGGTGGCACCTCCCGCCCCGGGCCAGCGCAGAGGCCCTCGGATCCCAGAGAGAATTCTTTACGCTTCGCGTATCCCCACCAGCCCATCTCTCAACAGCGACTTCTCGGCTCGCCTCCCACCGATGTTCTTGTCGCCCTTCGACTTTCGGAGGCTCCTCCCGGGGTCCTGGGTCCAGTGCTCCGGCCTCTCCAGAGCGCTTCAAGTGGCCGAAATCGGTAATTTTACGAAGGTTTTGGAGAGATTTAGCCTTTTCGGCTGTCCGACGTTCCAAGACGGCCCAATAGGCCCCCAAGATCGCCCAAAGACGGCCCAAGAGGGCCCCCAGACGACCCCAGAGGCGCCCAAGACAGCCCAAGACAGCCCCAAGACGGCCCCAAGATGCGCCCAAGAGGGGATCACGACTCCAAAATTCGACCCTCCTGTTTGAAGAGTGCCCCAGGAGGCCCCAAGGAGCCCCCAAGGGGCCCCAGGAGGCTCCCGAGAGGCACCTAGGAGGCCCAAACGAGGCTTCAAAAGGCCACAAAACAGCCCCGAGGAGGCCCCACAACGGTCCCAAAACGGTTACCGAGAATATGCGAAACTGCCTTCACGACGTTCCCGACAGGCCACCCACGAGATCCAAACCAACACCCATGAGGCCTCTGACCCACCACCTAGGGCACCCGCCGCCCGTTCGCCGTCCGCGTAGCACGCACCACTCTGTACTCAACAGCTTCAGTCTCCAAGACAACACCCTGTAGTCAACAGCCCCCGTCTTCAAGGCAACACCCTGTGCTCAACAAGCTCCCGCTGCAAGAGAGCACCCTTAAGGAATTCATTCAAATCCCGACCCGCCCGCCCGCCCGCCACCCGCCCGCCCGCCGCCTGCCTGGCCGCTCGCCCGCCTTCCGCGTAGCACGCGCCACCCTGCACTCAACAGCCTCCGCTTCCAAGACAACACCTAGCATTCAACAGCCTCCAGCGCTCCCGGGACTGTCCGGGTCCGCTCCCAAACACGCCACGACACGCCAAGAGGGCCCTACAGATTGCCAAGACAGCCTCAAGAGGCCCCGGACACGCCGAAGATGGCCTCAGGACGGCCGACGACGCCGCCAAAACGCCCCAAGAGCGCTTTCAGAGGCCCCTCCAAAAGGCCCCGCATTTTTACCTAACAGCTTTTGCTGATAGGTTTCTAGTAGGGTCAAAAGAGAGCATCATGACTCCTCAGGGGGGTCTGGGCGGGTGCCGGGGAGGAGAACCGGGAACAGAACCGGGAACAGAGCCGGGCTCGCTTTTCGCCAACAGTCACACACTTCGTGCTCTTCGACCTCCCAGAACTCCATTCCCGGGCCACATTCTGGATGCCCGGAGCCAACTGTAGGCCACTTCGTGCTCTTCGACTTCCCAGAACCCCATTCCCGGGCCACATTTTGGATACCCGGAGCCAACTGTAGGCCACTTCGTGCTCTTGGACTTCCCAGAACACCATTCCTGGGCCACATTTTGAATGCCCGGAGCCAACTGTAGGCCACTTCGTGCTCTTCCACTTCCCAGAACTCCACTCCCGGGCCACTGTTGCTGCTGCTAGTGTAGCTATTGCTATTGCAACTACTGGCAGTGCTGCGACTGCTGAGGCTGCCAGGCTGAGGCTGAGGCAGGCTGAGGCTGAGGCCGAGGCCGACGGCAGACTGAGGCTGAAGCTGAAGCAGGCTGAGGCAGAGGCAGGCTGAGGCTGAGGCTGAGGAGGCAGGCTGAGGCTGAGGCTGAGGCTGATGCAGGCTGAGGCTGAGGCAGGCTGAGGCTGAGGCCGAGGCTGAAGGCAGACTGAGGCTGAGGCTGAAGGCTGAGGCTGAGGCTGAGGCTGAGGCAGGCTGAGGCTGAGGCTGAGGCAGGCTGATGCTGAGGCAGGCTGAGGCTGAGGCTGAGGCTGATGCAGGCTGAGGCTGAGGCAGGCTGAGGCTGAGGCCGAGGCTGAAGGCAGACTGAGGCTGAGGCTGAAGCTGAGGCTGAGGCTGAGGCTGAGGCAGGCTGAGGCTGAGGCTGAGGCTGAGGCAGGCTGATGCTGAGGCAGGCTGAGGCTGAGGCTGAGGCTGATGCAGGCTGAGGCTGAGGCAGGCTGAGGCTGAGGCCGAGGCTGAAGGCAGACTGAGGCTGAGGCTGGCAGGCTGAGGCTGAGGCTGAGGCTGAGGCAGGCTGAGGCTGAGGCTGAGGCAGGCTGATGCTGAGGCAGGCTGAGGCTGAGGCTGAGGCTGATGCAGGCTGAGGCTGAGGCAGGCTGAGGCTGAGGCCGAGGCTGAAGGCAGACTGAGGCTGAGGCTGCAGGCTGAGGCTGAGGCTGAGGCTGAGGCTGAGGCAGGCTGAGGCTGAGGCTGAGGCAGGCTGAGGCTGAGGAGGCTGAGGCTGAGGCTGAGGCTGATGCAGGCTGAGGCTGAGGCAGGCTGAGGCTGAGGCCGAGGCTGAAGGGACTGAGGCTGAGGCTGCAGGCTGAGGCTGAGGCAGGCTGAGGCTGCAGGCTGAGGCTGAGGCTGAGGCAGGCTGAGGCTGAGGCTGAGGCTGAGGCTGCTGAGGCTGAGGCTGAGGCAGGCTGAGGCTGAGGCCGAGGCTGAAGGCAGACTGAGGCTGAGGCTGAAGCAGGCTGAGGCTGAGGCTGAGGCAGGCTGAGGCTGAGGCTGAGGCAGGCTGAGGCTGAGGCTGAGGCTGAGGCTGAGGCTGAGGCTGAGGCTGCAGGCTGCAGGCTGAGGCCGAGGCTGAAGGCAGACTGATGCTGAGGCTGAAGGCAGGCTGAGGCTGAGGCTGAGGCAGGCTGAGGCTGAGGCTGAGGCAGGCTGAGGCTGAGGCTGTGACTGCGACTGCCGTTGCCACTGCGACTGTCATCGCGAATGCGACTACGACTGCGAGAACAGCAGAATTCTACAACTGGATTCCCATCCGAATCTTAAGGGGAATGCTTCCAGATATGCTCCTACACATCGCTGTTAGGTTGCTTTGCCGGGATAATTGCGCTCTCGCATGTTCCGCCTCCCCACGGTCCCGGACGGCGTCAGAGGCCGTTCAGATCGCTCCAAGACAGCCGAAGAGGCTCCCAAGAAAGACTAGAGATGGCCCAGGAAGCTCCCCAGATAATTCAAGAGGGCCTCGAGAGCGCCCCAACAGAGCCCCAAGAGCGACCCAAGAGGGCCCGAAGAGCGCGACATTTCAAGGTCTCCAGCCTGAGAGGCTCCTAGGACGCCCCCGGAGGCCATCACTCCCAAGAAGCCCCGTGAGGCTCCCCAGAGGCCCCCCGGAAGCCCCAATGAGTTCCCAAGGGGCCCCAGGGAAGCCCCCTGCGGGCCCCCAAGGGACCTCGGTAAGTCGTATTTCCCAGAGCTCTCCGTGAACATGATTCCTCGGGCTTCCGCCCCCCGCCCCAACCATGTTTCCAATAGGCTTGCCGACAGGGCCACGGAGGGCCCCTCGGTAAGCAGGCCCCCAGAGGCCCCCTGTTGGGAGAGCCGAACAGATCATGTTCCTGGAACGCTTCCCGGGAACATGATTCTCGGGTCGCCGCCTTCCCCCCAAACCATGTTCCCCAAACGCCTGCCAGGATAAAAACACGAGAGTCCCGAGCAGCGCTACCTGCCGTCACGCTCGGAAGCGCGTCAGGCTCCGAAGCCTCCGGAGGCGCCCAACGACACCCCAACAAATCATGTTCCCAGGAAGTCTTACGGTCAGTGCCGCCGACGTTGAAGGAGGACTGTCCAGGACACCCAGAAATCTCCCAAACAGGCTTCCAAGAGGGCGCCGAGACAGCCCAGGGCCGCCCCCAGACGGCCCAAGAAAAACCCAACACAGACGAAAAGGGCCGCAAGAGGCCCCCAGGAGGCCCCGAAACGAGGACATATCGTTCGAAC